CAATTATCAGCTCATAAAGTTTTTGACAATAGGGAGCATAGATTCTATTCAGGGTTGGATTAAGGGAGGGTCTCCTGCAGATCCACAAGTGTAGTTGAGTCTCCAGGGAATGCAGTTTCAGGAAAGCAGTTCTGGTACGCAGGGATGATCATCAGCTGAGCTGATGCGGCACAGCAGTCATCTTGTAGTTACCAGGAATGGTGTTGTGGGGATCTGCAGTGTGAGTTGTCCTTGGGTATCTGGCTTCCTTAAGAATGGCAGAGTAGTTCTTGTTTTCCCCTGAGGTAATACAGGGCTGGTAACTGTCATCTTCTCAAGTTGCAAGTTCTTCAACCTTGTTTTCGGCCTCCAGGCCATCCAGCGCCCGGAGGGGCCAGGCCATTCCGGCGCGTGGCTGCGCGGGGGCACCGTCCGCCAGGCAAAGTCTTTGATTATCACTTTACTCTGTGTATTCCCAAGAGACTTACTCTGAATATTGGTAAACTACATAGTCACCACAGTAGTGCAGTGTAATCTCAAATATTGCAAAGAATGCTCAATATGAACTTAGGGAAACTAGCAGATGGCATAATGGTTAAATTGCTAGACTCCCATGTAGTTGACCACAGTTTCAACCCCAAAACCCGGAAGTTTAAAATACACCAGTTCATGTGCGTGCATGCCCAAAATCCCGAGGGGAGAATGGAGGAGAAGGGATTTCATCATGGCCACCCCTCCAGGGAGTGATTTCTCACTTTTTGATTTTCTGTTTCTCTTTCTGGGCAATAGACACGCCCTAGATCAAAAATCTCTCTTTAAAAAGTTGAAAGAAACTAGTCAGGAAGTGATTTTTTCCTCTTTACTATTTAGGGTGATTTTTACTCTTTAAGGTGATTCTTTCTGTCTCTTTTTTAAGAATTATTGAATTTAACTATTTATTTATTTATATTTGACCAGAGAAGGGCAGGGCGAGAGAGGAAGAGAGAGAAAGTGAGAAAGTAACCCGTCAGGTTCGGGACTCGAATCGCGGTCCACCTTGTTAGAATTCAGCACCCTTAACCACCACACCACCTGCCGGCTCCCGAATTTTTCTGTGTTTTATACGTGTGTCTCATACATTGTATTTTAGGTGGAATATGAACATGTTGCCCGAGAATGTCGGCTTGGCAGCAAGGAAGGTCGTCCTTTCTCTGGGGTCACTGCTTGCCTAGACTTCTGTGCCCATCCCCATAGAGACATTCACAATATGAATAATGGAAGCACTGTGGTATGTATCCAGGGCCCTTTCAGTTCTTAAAATCTTGATCACTGTTTTCTTCTGCTGTAATCCTTAAATACGATTGTTGTTGTGACCAATAATTATTTTTGTGCTAATAGGTTTAAGTGTGGTATTGATTAAATTTCCTGTCAGTGTGTTATCAACATGATTTATTATTAACATCCAAAAAATTACAGAACCAACCTTAAGCAGTTTGGTTGAATGGTTTGAATTAAATATTTAATGGAAGTATGTTTGCTGAAAGGTTAGGGGAACATGGTTGCTCAGAGGAACAATTCTGAGGGCCAGCAGATGGCATAGTAGTTACTCCTCTGGACTCTCACATGGCTGGCTATAGTTCATGTCTCATACTGGTGGCTTGAAAGTCACTCCAAGTGAGTGTGCATGCAGGTTCAATATGCCAAGAGGAGAATATAAGAGAAGGGATTACAGTATGACCATCACCCCAGCGGGTGATTTCTTGCTCTCTAACTCTCCGGTGAGTACACACATTCTATAGCAAAACTCTCTCTGAAAAAAAGAAAAAAAATTGGGGAACCGGCAGGTGGCGTGATGGTTGGGGTGCTGGACAACCACGTGGCTGGCCACGGTTTGTCTTCTTTTTTCACTTACCCTCTCACCTTCTCTCTCCATGTATTTTTCTCTGGTCAGATTTTTAAAAATAAATAAATAAAATTTAATAGATATTTCTTTTTAAAAAATTCGAACACAGATTTTCTTTCACGATGGCAACATAAGAATGTAGGAATAAAGACCTGTAGGTTGCATGCTGGTTAAGGTGCTGGACTCCCACTTGGCCAACTATGGGTCGAGTCCCAGACCCTGGTGAATTGCTTTCTCACTTTCCCTTTCTCTTTCTCTGTTTCTGGTGAGCACCCGGACCCTATAGAAAATTTTTAAATAATATTAATAAAAATTTTATTTAAGAAAAATATATAGAATTGTTTATTTATCATCATCATTATTTTTTAATTTTGCTACAGGGCATGTCCACTCACCAGAGAGGAGAGAAGGAAAGTGAGAAAGCAAGCTGCCAGGTCCGGATCTTGAACCACAGTCAGCCATGTGGGAGTCCAGCCGCCCTAACCACCACACCACCTGCTCACCCCATAATTCTGTTTTGTTTTTTGTTTGTGTTTTTTAAAAACGATGTATGAATAAGTATAATCAATGTGCAGCTTCTGTATTTCAATTGCTCCGTGTTTTCCTCCTATCAGGTTTGTACTTTAACTCGCGAAGACAACCGTTCATTGGGTGTTATTCCTCAAGATGAGCAGCTCCATGTCTTGCCTTTGTATAAACTTGCAGACACAGATGAGTTTGGTTCTCAGGAAGGAATGGAAGCTAAAATCAAATCCGGGGCCATCGAGGTCCTCGCACCCTACCGCAAAAAGAGAACACGTTTTACTCAGCCTGTTCCTCGTTCTGGGAAGAAGAGGGCTGCAATGATGACAGAGGTCCTGGCTCATAAGATGAGGGCAGTGGAGAAGAAACCCATTCCTCGAGTTAAGCGGAAGAATAACTCCACAACGACAAACAACGGTAAGGCTTCGTACTCTGGCTCTAAGTCAGCCTTATCTATGGAACCTGCTTATTAACTTTTCACAACTTTTGTTAACAGAAGGGTTTGGCCTTTCCTTGCTCCTAGTTTTTCTCTCTCATATCTTTGCTGCTATGTTAGGGGTAGAGCATTATGAAGAGAAGATGTCAGAGCAGGTATTATTTAACTAATTACTCTTTAATCCTATTTAATTGTGATTTATTCTAAATGAAAACAAATAACAGCATATTTTAAATATGTGCCAAAACTAAAAGTACTAAAAGTCAACAAAAAATTAGCATTTCTTTATAGATTTTTCTACTTATCCTTTTTTTTAAACATATTGTCATTATTCCTGTGAATTTCCTAACCTTTTTTTTTTTTTTTTTTTTTTTTTTTAAATCTATGGGAAATAAATACAGAGAGAGACGGGCACCCCCAACAGGGTATCATACCACAATCTACCTCCAGTCTCAGCTAATCTACATGCTGGACAAACACTGTCCCAGCATGCTCAGTGAAACCTTGGGATTTTAACTGAGACCCTGAACGTGGGTCCAGTTAGACCACCACTGCACCATCTCCTGGTTCCCCATTTATTTTGAAGTCCCTACTCTTTTTTGTTGACATTTTCTATGACATCATTTCCTTAAAGCCTTCCTTGATTACCTGTAGCATCAATTTAAGTTAACTAGTTAATGAATATTACTAAGCACCACTTTGAACTACTCTGAATTGTTCTAGGTGTTGGAAATGCTGGAATGAAAGAGAAGGGAGCTATTGCTGTGAAAAGACTCCATGTAAATATGGTTGTCACAGAAGGATTCACTGAGATTGTGGCATTTGAGTAAAGTCCTAAAGGAAATGAGAGAGGCAGCAATGTGGATATTTGGAGAAATAGTATTCCAGGCAGAGAAAATAGCAAGTGCATAGGTCCTGAGGCCGGAATTTACCTTGAATATTTGAAGCGAACAAAGCGGCCAGCGTGGCTGGAGCAGTGTGAAATGGGGAGATGAGATCAGAAAGGTAAGAGAGGTGTCTGAGCAATTCATCTCAGGCTTTGCAGACTGCTATAAAGACTTGGGCCTTTATTTTATCTTTTGAGTGAAAGGAAGATTATTGTAGATGTCAGAATAGAGGAAGGCTGTGGTCTGACTCCCACCTAAATCTAAAGGCATGATCAAAATCTGTTTAATATTGTGTGACAAGAACACTATAGATTAGTATACTCCTGTTTATCATATTTGGAAGCATATTATGACTGACTTTCTCTTTGTTGGATTAAGAATGATCATTGACTATGCCTTTTTACAATTTATTTCATTAGGATTCACAGAATATATCACCCTTTTTTGCTTTATTAATCTTCTGTTAAGAAAGAAATGATGGGGCCGGCATGTGGTGTGGTAGTTAAATGAGCTGGACTCTTACGTGGCAGACTGTAGTTCGAGTCCCAGATTTGGTGGCTTGCTTCTTCACTTTCCCTCTCTCTCTCTGATCAAACTGGAAAATAATAATAAGTAAAGTTAAATTGCAACCAGCAGTTGTTGTACTGGATATGTCACTGGACTCCCATGTAGTCGACCATGCTTCAAGTCCTGGACCTGGTTGCTTAAATTTATGCCGGGTGCATGTGCGTGTGTGCTCAAGATCCCAAGAGGAAAATGGTGGAGAAGGGATCACAGCATGACCATCCCCCCTGGGAGGGGGTGATTTCTCGCTTTCTGTCTCTCTTTTTCTCTCTGTCTTTCTCGTGAGCACATGCATCCTATAGCAAAAACCTCTCCAAAAATAAAAAGAAAGACTTAAGGCAGTCTTACATCTAGAAGCAAAAAGATAAAAACCATTAAGAAAGCATGCAAAGGTATAAAATTCACCAGTAGAGTAATTAATTACACAAGTAAGAAAGAGAAAAGAATCAAAGCTTACCACCATAAAGAACTACAATGTGGGACCAGTAGTTGAAAAAAAAAGAATATTATTTTTTAAGAAATAAAGAAATGCTGGGACCAGCAGGTTTTGTGGTGGTTAAGGCGCTCATCTCCCCACACGGCTGACTGCAGTTCGAGTTCTAGACCTGGTGATTTGCTTTCCCATTTTCCATCTCTCTCGCTCGCTCTCTCTCTCTGGTGAGCACATATACCCTATAGCAAATTAATAGTAATAATTATGATGATAAACAAAATTAAATAAATAGAGACCATAGGATAGTGTAACGTTTACATCATGGTACTCCAATGTAGTCAACTGCAGCTCGATTCCTGGACTCGGTGACTTGAAATTCACTCTGGGTGCATGTGCCTACATGCTAAAGATCCTAAGAGGAAAGTTAAGACAAAGGGATTGTGGGGACCAGCAGTTAGCATAATGGCTGTCGCTGGACTCCCACGTAGTCGACCATGCTTCACGTCCCGGACCCGGTGACTTAAAACTCACGCCGGGCGCGTGTGCGTGCGTGCCTTAGATCCTGAGAGGAGAATGGAGGAGAAGGGATTGCGGTGTGATCATCCCCCCTGGGGGGTGATTTCTCACTTTCTGTCTCTATGTCTCTCTCTGTCTGTCTGGTGAGTGGCACCCACTCTATAATGAAAACTTCTCCAAAAAGAAAAAAAAAAGGGGGGGGATTGTGTCATGGCCATCCCTCCATGGGGTGATTTCTCACTTTCTGCCTCACTTTCTCTCCAGCAAGTGCATATGCCTTATAGCAAAAATCTCTCTTTATAAATAAATAAATAATTCTGGGACCTGCAGTCAGCATAATGGTTATGTCGCTGATTTCCCATGTAGTTGACTGCAGTTCGAGTCCCCGACCCAGTGGCTTAAACTCATGCCGAGAACATGTGTGTGCCTGCCCTAGATCCCAAGAGGAGAATGGAGGAGAAGGGATTGCGGCGTGGCCATCCCCCAGGGAGTGATTTTTCTTGAACATTCACGCATATGTGAGTTTTAAGTCTCCGGGTCCAGGACTTGAACCGTGGTCGACTGTGTGGGAGTCTATCCAGCATCATAACCATTATGCCATCTGCTGGTCCCTCTTCAATTTATTTTTTTGAATATTATTTAGTTGCATTCATTATTATTATTATTTCTTTTTAAATTATTTAATTTTAACTTATTGTTAATCAATTTGACTAGAGAGAAGGAAAGTGGGAGAGTGATAAAACAAGCTAACTACAGTTGGCCATGTGAGAATCTAGGTGCCTTACCATATGCCACCTGCTGGTCCTCTTATTATTTCTCAATTTGACAGAGAAAGGGAAGGTGAACAAACAAGCCATCAGGTCTAGGAATCGAACCACCATTGGCCATGTGGGAGTCCAGCAACTTAACCACCATGTCACCTTCATACTTAAACCATGAGATCAGACATGTGGGGTACAATCACATTAACCACTGTGCCATAGGCTGGCCTTGATTTCACAGGTTTAACGTAGGGGTGTGTGTGTTTCCAATGCATATTAATTTAATTTTCTTCTTTTAAATTAAATTTTTTAATTCCCTAAAATGCCCCTGTTATCTCATCTTTAGAAACCACTTAGCCTGGACACTTGTACTGTCACAACCCTGATTGTCTTTGATAGCTTTCTTAGCTTCTATTACAGGATGTTCCAGGCTCAGCTTATGTAATTCTGTCCCATATCTAAAATCAGCTATTTCTCTAAGGAGTCTACAGAAAAAAAATGCATCATTAACTCATACCTGTATTCCAACCTCAAATTGTTCAGTGTTCCTTTGTTTCTTTCATTTCTCTCTCTCTTTTTTAACTGCCATAGGGCATGTGCATATACCTAAAAGACAAAGCACCCCCAATTGTCTCCAGTCATGCAACAATACATTTTCTTCCATTGTTGAATCTTGTCAGGATCCTGGGCACATGCCTGGCCTGGTTTTGAAGCCGCTGGGGCCAGGATTCTCTCTGCAATTGGCTAGCTGAGATCTGGCCACCCTCTACAAAGCACTTAACTACTGCATTACTGGGCCTACCTGTGGCTTCTTTCATTTCTGTATTTGTAAGTGAGGTGGATTATTTGTGTGAGATGAGAGAAATTATATCATCAATGCTGGAAAATATTCAGTGGGGAGAAATAATGAAGAGGCAAGGTGGGGAGAAGTATCATTCCTTCTTGCTTGTAGCTCCACTTTACAGATTTCATTAGATTAATTTTGTGACTCACATATCTAGTTCGGTACTGCTTATATGAAGAATCTGTATCATTGTCATCCTCATGTTATTCCCAGTATTGTCCCCACATAAGGATAAAATGCTTGTCATAGTCATTTTAAAATGTCATCTTGTGCCTATTTTCTAATAGTATATTCTTATATATCGGTAGCCACAGACATATGATTTCGTCTATAACCTTCTGTCCCTTCATAATCTTATCTTACGATCTTTCTTGGGGTTGGCAGGTGGTGTGGTAGTTATGGGTGCTGGACTCCCACATGGCCAACCATGGTTCGAGTCCTGGACCTAGCAGCCTTCCTTTTCACTTTCTTTCTCTCTCTCACTCTGTCCCTCTCTGGTCAAATAAAAGAATAAATAAAGTTTAATCAAATGATTCTTTTTTTAAAAAAAAAAGATCTTTATTAACAGGTTCATATGATACAAATATTCAATCATTGTCTTTCTTTCCCATAATTTATATCCTATGTCTTAATCTTTACAGTAATATATACCAAAAGTAACACAGGTGTCCTCATGTGCCACTGATTGATTCTTTTGTACAGTATTAATTCTCTTTAGAAATGAGAATTAACAGGGGCCAGAGGGTGGCATGGTGGTCGTGGTGCTGGTCTCTCATATGGCCAACCATGGTTCAAGTCCCAGACCCGATAGCTCAAAAACCACAACAAATAAATAGGTAAATAAATGTTTTTTAAAATGATAGCTACTGTCAGAAATGAGAGTGAACATGTTTTCAGGTGTCATTCTCTGAGAGGAGAAACGCCGGTGTTCTGGAATTGATTAGTGATTACTATTATTAATTATTTCAAACTCCTTAATTTAATTTCATTTATTTAAATTTGTCATAGGGCAGGTGCTCACCAGAGTGAGACAGAGAAAGAGATAGAGAAAAATGATAATGCATGCTACCATGTCCAGGACTCAACTGCAGTCAGTCATGTGGGAGTCCAGCACCTTAACTATCATGGCACCTGCTGGCCCCTATTAAGTATTTTAAAAGAAGGCAGCTTTATTTTTTTTTCTTTATGCTAATATTTACTATATTTGAACTTCCAGAATTTGTTTTAGAACATCATGTGGGGGTAGGGCAGGTGCTATAGTGGTAGAGGCACCAACATGGCTGACCACGGTTCAAGTCCCAGATGTAGCAACCCAAAAATCACAACAAATAAATACAAATAAGTAAATAAATTATATGTGGGTTTTTTTTGGGGGGGGGTGTTTGCTATAGGGTTCATGTGCTCGCCAAATAGAAAGAGACAAAAAGAGCGAAATAACCCCACTGGGGAGATGGGCACGCGCACACACACACACACACACACACACAGTGTGAGTTTAAGCCACTTTGAATGGGACTTGAACCAAGGTCAACTACATGGGAGTCCAGCGACATAGCCATTATGCTAACTGCTGGTCCCGACAAAGAGAAGGTTCTTAAAGTGACAGTAATGATGTACTTGCTTAGTAAGAAAAAAAAAATGAATCTGACATGCTCTTGGTTTTAAGGATTGGTAATGTTTATTTTTTAACTATGCTATTTATATGACTTAACCTTTGCATAAGATTGAGCTTGATTGTTATACTTTCATTACTCAGATATGTTTCTTATATATTTTCTTATTTTTTGCAATTATTTTATTTAACTTTATTTATTTATTTTAATTTGACTAGAGAGAGAGAGAAAGTAAGAAAGCAAGCCGCCAGGTCTGGGATTCAAACTGTGGGCAGCCATGAGGGAATCTAGCATCCTTAACCATCACACCACCTGCCGGCCCTATTTTATTATTTTACATAATGAACATCCGTCCTTTCAGCTGAATCTTTGCACTTTTTAATGATTACTTCCCAAGGGAAGACTTCTTTAAGTAAGTTTGTTTGAAAAAGTATACCAAACTGCTTAGAATTTTTAATTCCTGTGGGTGTATATGTGAGATTTGAAATAAATAGAACAAAACTGGCCAACATCATGTTATGTTATTTTCTGTACTTCTCTTTTTAAATATTCTTTAAATACAAGAGCTACCAAAAGAGGTGTGTATTTATCTTCATATTTGGTGTCCTTTTCTCTGTTTAGGGAATAAAACTGAGATGGTGCAACCTGAAATAAAAAGTGAAACTGAACCTCATTTTATCTTCAAAGGTTCAGACAACACTAAAACCTATCCACCGATCCCATCCATTCCTCACCCAGTGAAAGAGGTAAACCTATCTCCAGGCTTCTCCTTGTCCCCTAAGACTGCTTTGGCCACAACAGCTCCATTTAAGAACGATACAACAGCCTTGTACGGGTTTTCAGTAAGAAGTAGCATTCCCCACTGCACAATGCCTTCTGGAAGGAACAGTGGTGCTAATGCAGCTGCTGGGGAATGCACTGGAATTGCACAGCCTGGTGAAGTGGCTCCTCTTCCCACTCTGGCTTACTCTGAGCCTCCCACTGGTCCAACTGAGCAGCTAACTTCTAATCAGTCAAACCAGCAGCCCCCATTCCTCTCTTCTCATGAACTTGCTTCCTCTCTGCTAGAAGACGACCAGCATTCCGATGCTGATGAACCTCTGTCTGATGACCCCCTGTCTGATGACCCTCTGTCACCTGCTGAGAAGAAATGGCCCTACTTGGATGAGTATTGGTCAGATAATGAGCACATCTTCTTGGATCCCAATATTGGTGGGGTGGCAATAGCGCCCACTCATGGCTCAGTTTTGATTGAGTGTGCCCGGCGAGAGCTTCATGCTACCACTCCCGTCCAGCACCCAAATCGGAATCATCCTACACGCCTCTCCCTTGTATTCTACCAGCACAAAAACTTGAATAAGCCCCAACATGGTTTTGAACTAAACAAGATTAAGTTTGAAGCTAAAGAAGCTAAAAATAAGAAAACAAAGGCCTCAGAGCAAAAAGACCAGGCAGCTAAGGAGGGTAATGAACTGTCCCCTGAAGTTAATGAATTGAACCAAATTCCTTCTCATAAAGCATTAACATTAACTCATGACAATGTTGTCACCGTGTCCCCTTATGCTCTCACACATGTCGCGGGGCCCTATAACCATTGGGTCTGAAGGCTTTTCTCCCCTTCTTAATGCCTTTGCTAGTGCAGTGTATTTTTTCAAGGTGCTGTTAAAAGAAAGTCATGTTGTCGTTTACTATATTCTCCATCTCACCCATTTCAAGTTTGAATTTAAAAAATATAGTAGGGTAGGTATTTCTTAACTGTGACTATATTTTGACAATTGGTAGAAGGTGCACATTTTAAGCAAAAATAAAAATTTTATAGTTTTAAATACATAAAGAAATGTTTTGGTTAGGTGTTAACCTTGATCGAATCACTCAGTTTGGTGCTTTAAATTAAGTCTGTTTACTCTGAAACAAGAGTCATTTTTAGAGGATTTTAACAGGTTCACGTGCTATGATGTAAAATCAAGACACAGTGTTAACTCTACACAGCTCCTGGTGCTTAACCACATCAACACAGTTAAAAATAAGCTGAATTATTATTTCATGGTGCCATTGTTCCAACATCTTCCAATCATTGCTAGAATATTGGCATATTCCTTTGAAATAAACCAATGAAATGTTTTCTCAAACTATTTCTCCTATAAAAAAAAGAATTCATTATTGTTAGTAATGGTTGGAGGCTGTTCATAAATTGTAAATATATATTTTAAAAGCACTTTCTATTTTTAAAAGTAACTTGAAATAGTATAGTATAAGAATCCTATTGTCTATTGTTTGTGCATATTTGCATACAAGAGAAGTCATTTATTCTTGCTGTGTAGAGTTCCATCTTGTTAACTGCAATATGTATTCTAATCATGTATATGGTTTGTGTTCTTCTAATGTGTCCTTTCCACAGTCAAATATTAGCTACTTAAATAAAATAGTTAGGTAATGCAAAAATCATTTATTATCTCTAAAATTGGATTTAGGAAACATATCACCAATATTGATTAGCCGTTTCTTTGGAATTAAATAAGAGTGGTCTCTTCTGATTTATTGAACAACAGTCTCCTCAATTTGCTTTCATCCCAGCTTTGTCAATGTAACTCATGAAAGATGTTTCCAAAAGGAGATGGGACAGAATAGGATTCAGAAGAGTCAAATGCTTCTAACGTGTCAAGGTTATAAAATGTAAAAATCAAGTATCCAGAACTCTACCCAGTCCCAAATTGCCTTATTTGTTTTGAAAATCATTCCAATATAGGATAAGAAAAATCCTGTAGAAATCTTTTGAGAATAAACTCCCTGTCGACATCAAATGGCCCCCATCCCCCAAACAGTAGGAATCGTATTATAAACATAGCTTTGGCCATTCAAAGCTAATCCAGGTATTTATCTTAGCATTAGATTTGGGAAAATGGTAATTCCTCTTCTTGGATAATTACCTATGTTCTAGGTAACCGAAAAATAGGCTTTTATTCTAGCTTTCCCATAAATTTTTCCACATTCCTTTGTTGATTTGTCATAGAGCAAAGCAGAAAGGATTACCCAAACAAAATGTTCAGTACAAGAAGAATTTCCAGTGAAATACTTGATTTCGTTAAAATGCAGAGGTGCTATAACATTCAAAGTGTCAGATTCCTTGGGAGTATGGAAAACCTAATGGTGCTTCTCCCTTGGAAATGCCATAGGAAGCCCACAACCGCTAACTCTCACTATTTTGGTGCAAAAGCAAACTGTTCCAGTAAGCTCTCTAAAGAAAAACTCATTGTAAATTATTAAAACCATATATGGTGCAAAGTTTTGTGCTTTTGACTGATTTGAGTAAAGGAATATGAAGGGATTGTAAATAACAAAATGTCCATTGACAGACCTTCATCTTGTAGAAGTAGATTTCTGCTTCTTGAATATGTAAAATAAGGTAATTCATTGACTTGTTTTAGTATTTTGTGTGCCTTAGATTTCCGTTTGAAAACATGTATATTTTTGTGAGCCTAAGGTTTCTTATACATAGAAGTATATAAATAAGTGATTGTTTATTGCTTCAGCTGCTTCAGTAAAATATTTACTAGTATTAGACTATCAGGAATACACCCTTGTGATATTACATTTTAGATTGTAGGCCTTAGCTCCCACGAAACATTATTAACTCACCAGATTTAATGGATAAATTTGTATGGCCCTTTATTTACCCGTCTGGTTATTCTTCCATTCTGTTATTGAATGCCTACAAAATCTAAGTATCACTTTTGTTTTTCATTGAATCACCAACTATGATGGTGATTCTAAACTTGCAGAATTAAAATCCTAAGAGATACCTTTCCAGGGGACCAGGTGGTGGTGTGGTGGTGAAACGCGTCATGTCTGCGCGGCAATCCCATGGCAGGAGGTCCCTGGTGTGAGTCTAGAGACCCGAGTACACTGGTCTCGCACTTGCCTAGGATCCAGGTCTGGCTGAAGTTTCGGATTGGACCCTGTTGAGGTTACTGTCTCTTTCCCATTCTCTCTCACACGCTCTCTTTCATGGAAGAAGTAAATAAACTTTTATAAAAGATACCCTTCAAATTTCCTTTTAAAGAAATACCAAATTATTTTCCAAATAATCCATGGAAATATAGCCACAGTAACTTAGTTAAAACACCAGTGTTGAAGTTTACCAAAACAAGTACAATAAGAATACCTAGTTTTAAATAAAATGTGTCCGTTCTTTTGTTGTAATTAACATTTTGAATGGGCTGCAACTGATACCCCTATTGTGGGAATCATACTCAACTTCTACTGTGTTGGATTGTTTCCTAAGTTTAACATCTTATCATCCCATTCTTTGCCCTGTGGTTTTTTAAAAAGTTATGCTTATTTGATGTTCTGCAGCATTGTGATTGTATGCTGGCTACCCTGCTTCTAGAATGCTCTTTCTCATGAACAAGGAAATAAATTTGTTTGAAATGACATTTTCACTCAGAAAACTGGTCATCTAACATTATTTCGTCACCTCTGTTGTGTTTTACTGCAATGATCATATTCTCTTTTATCTCTTATGTAGAAGTCAAATTAGGTTTTCAGCGTTCTCTTTTTAGTGGTATGATCATTAAATTTGCTGATACATGATCTCCAAGTTAGCCCAACAGGTTCACAGTATCTTCTAAACTTATTTATTATAATGAGAGAATAAGTCCCGCTTGTAGTATTAATAAAATTCTACAAAAATATCATACTGCCCCTTGAAATTGCATTTCTAATGGCTCTTAGCAATTTTCTCTCTGTTTTTTTTCTTGTGCTCATCTGCCTCACTACATCCTGTTTCCAATCATCCACAAGGTACCAAATAGATTGTGACATAAACCTAGTTGAAATATATACTTATTTGGAAGCAAGGCTATCTGAAAACTGTAGGCAAAACTTCACAACATGTTTGCATCTTAAATAGTTTTCCAATATCTTTTCAACCTGCATGTGGGTGAAATAACTTTATTTGTTGAAAATAGAACTTTAGCTAAATGAGAGCCATAAACAATTTACTTAAGACATAACCTCAATACTTAATTGAATGCATACCCTTGTGTAAATGAACTGCTGACTTCATTCTTATAAAATAACCTACTTTTCAACATTACGCTGGTGGACTCCTACTGATTATCATTTCACAGTAGCATGTGTCAAAGTAACCTGAAAATAGTCTTTTAAAAACAAATTATACTGAAACTTTTTATCTGAGCAAAGCTATGACATTATTGCATGACAACTTCTACCAAGAGTGGGCACAGCATTTCTGAATGTGCCAACTAAATCAGTAGTGGATGCAACTTTTAATAATATATAGTTACCTTCAATTTCACACCTTTATGCATGGAAATCTTTTGTGTTTTTTTTTTTTTTCGGCCCACATTTACTACAACTGTGAGTTTTGATCTTTTGCATAAATTTATGATAAGAGAATTATAAAAGAATGAATGGAATATTGCAGTGGTCTCACCACAGTGGAAGCTAGCATGGAAGTCATGTATTGATAGTTCAGTCACTGGGGTCCAGAGAGCAGCTGTTAATGTCAGCTTGTAATCATGTCTGTAGTTGGAATTAAAGATGATAGCCACTTTATGTCTAGGACAACTGTAGGAAAGTGAACTTTATTTTTTCACCTAAAGAGGATATTTTATCACTGAAAAATAACCTTATTTTGGTGCAAGTCAAAAATCAAATGGCTTTAGAATTTTTTTCCTGGAGAAGTTCAGCAAAGAAAGTTAACAGTAAAGGTGAATTGAGAGTCCTCTGCCTGCAGTTTCATGGGCTTTGTGTGGGAAACTTAGCTATATGAATCTCTTCTGTTTACTCATTCTGTGAAATATGACAAGAGTCTTATTTTTTAATAAACAAATATCAATTGCTTATAATACTGGATTTCTTTTTCCCTAAGCCTAGAGTTAAATATACAGATAAGGAGTTATAAAGGATTGGATTATTGAAATAACTGAAAACATCTCCATATATTCCATCGTGTATATAACCTAGCCATAATTACATAGTCCATTCATGTCTCTTGTATAGTTTGCCTCACAATAAACTCCCAGTATAGTTCATTTTGATGTGACTTCCTACATGTATTGAAATATTATTTTATTATGCCTAGATCCTCATGTTGGCTCCTAAGTGTATTAAGCTTTTAAGTTTAATACCAGTTGTCTGGTATTCTTAATCAAGTGATTTAATAGTGCCTGACTGATGGAGTCCAGATTACCCAAATAAAATTATGGTCCAGGTTGAGCTTTCTTATAGCAGAAAGAAAATCATGTTACCCATCGCTCTGGAATGCATTTCACAAAGTTAGAGTCGTGTGTCCTTCATCACAAGCTGAATTTGTGTATTTCCTTGGCATGTGTTGAGAGTCATTGGCATTTGTTTGCTTTTCTCATACGTTGTTCATAAAGTAAAAACTGAGCTCCTCTGTCAATTTCTGAGATACTATTGCTGGCTTGTATGCAGGACATTAGTATTTTTGTCTATTTTATCTATAATGAATTCTACAAACTAATTGCTGCCTTCTAGCATGTAGTTGTATTTGTTTTACTCTGTTGCTTCTGGGTACCCAGTCAAGTACCATGCTTTCCTTCAAAAGGCATATATTTAATTCCTTCAGGTAATCCAGAGGTATTCCTTATTGCCACACCTCATTTTCACATCTCTTAAGGGTCCCATAATGTATTCATATGCATCTTCTGTTAGTATGCAGTAGTTACTATTTCTAGCTTTGGCTTTCCAACACCAATCTTTTCCTTGTTGGCTATACTCCATTTCCACCCTTCATTTAATACCCATGCTCAGGTCCTAAGTTTTCTTCCAGTTTGTTCAGCCATAGATGCCCCCTATATTGAAGCAAAACTTGGTCCAAGGTAGGAATGTTAACAGATGTAAAACATATCAGCTGACTTAGCCCATTGATGTTAGTGTGACTTTAGAAACCCTTGGCTAACAGTGTAAAACTAGTTTTCCTAAAAATAGAAATTGTGTCCCCAGCAGCTGTTACATAAGGCACTCTCTCTTACTTGTTCATAAGAAAAAAAATCTTGCAGCTGTCAGAAACATTTTTGTTTTAGGAGAAACACTATTGGGAAGTAGTATTTGGGATTTTTTTATATTTGGTGGTGTATGAATTCATAATCCTTGGCTATACTCTCTTTTTCCCCTCATTTTGTGGAAGCTGCAGTGTCAGCAAGTGCATTTTCATCTGCTGTGCAGTTTTCATCTCTCTCTGATTTTCTTTAAATTAAAAATCTATTGCTTCATTCTTCTGTCTCCATCCCCCAGATCGCACAAATACACATTCATTTTAAGAAGAGCAGTGATTTTGCTCAAGATATCTTTAGCTTTCAAAATTATGTTTTATATTTTTAGTTGTAATACCAGAGAAAATCAAAAACTTCTATTCAGCTCTTTTCAATTAGAGGCAAATCTTTTCTAGAAATAAGTAGTAGTTATTGTTGGTTAATATTGAGTACTCTCTGTCCAATCCCAATGGATTAATATTGAGTACTCTTAATCCAATCCCAATGATGTTTTATTGCCCATTTATTCCTGTTTGAATGTTCTGCGAAAACTTGTATAAGAAGTTACCTATTATTCTAAGACTTTCTGTATGGCTGTGTTATTTCTGTGTAATGGATCCTAGTAATTCATAAATTGGTTGATCAGTGACTTTGAATTAGTTGCAAATCTGATCTACAGAATAGACAGTATCCCTTTGCATATTTTCTTTTATTTCCCATCCCAATTTTGTGTATGATATTTTATTTTGGTTGTTGGCAATAATAGAAACTGTTCTATTACTGAGAAAGGATAAAAAGCGAATGGAGAGTAATGGGAAGGGTTGCAGAGAGGTGAAAGTATCAGAAGTGCTCTTAAGCACGACGGGGAAGTTAACAGGTTGAAGGGAAGGAAAATGTACCTCTGTCAGCAATTTGAGAGTTCACTCTAGCAGCTTCAAAGCAAGAAATGCCTTTAATATTTCTACTCTCCAGTGTACATCAATTTTATCTGAAAACTCACTGCCAAAAATGTGGAACAGTTTTGAAAGCAAATATGGCAGTATGAAACTTATAATCCTTATATTTTATAATGTTTTAGATTCTCAAGCTGCTGTGCTTGCTTCAGCAACAAATATACTAAAATTGTAATGATCCAGAGAAGATTAGCATGGCTCCTGCGCAAGGTTCTAAGACTGCTTTTTTAATTTGCCAGAAGGATGTGCGTCTTTGTTAGAGGGAAACAGAGAGAGAGGAAAGTGGGACAGCATCCCTCATGGGGGATAATCATGATGTAATCCCCTCTCCATTTTTCCTTCCCTTTGAGATCCTGGGCATACACGCACACCTGCCCAGTGTGTTTTTCGAGTTGCTGGACCCAAGACTAGAACCGCACAGTTGGCAACATGGGATCCAGCCACCTTAACCACCATGCCATTGGCTGGCCCTTAGAGTGCTTTGTCACGTGCAACTTTTTCTCCCCAACACTGAGAGTTAGACAGGGAACAATAGTCCCAGCTTAAATCAAGGAACCTGTAGATTCCCCAGAATAGCTAAGGGCTTCCTCCAAGTCTCACAGCAAGTCAACCTATCTGAGACTAAAGTATTTAACACCTGCATACTGCCAGTCACATTTCTACAACATGAACTAGAGTGCTACTGAGTAGAAATTTTGTCAGATACAGGGGCTGGCAAGTGGTATGGTCAAGGGCGCTGGACTCACATGGCCAACTGCTGTTCAAGTCTTGGACCTGGTGGCTTGCTTTCTTTCTCTCTCTCTCTCTCTCTCTGGTCAAATTAAAATATAAATACATAAAGTTAAATAATTAGATTTTGTCAGATACAACCTAATTTAAAATCTTACCGTTCATAAAATGTTCTTAGGAAGTATTTTATTTCCATTATTTATTAAGCCTGCTATTTTCTCATGCATACTAAGGAAAGTCTCCCAAATTCCCAGGATTTCAGCATTAGGGATTTCATTTATAAAATTGTACATGTTTTTTCTCCTTACAGAAGCTTTTCTTATTACAAAGAATATGCCTAAAATGGGGCAATCTAATAATAACTTTTTAGAATATTACTTTAGGGCTGGCCTAGTGGCTGGGGGATGCTGGTCCCATATGTCCAGCCTCAATTCAGACTTGACCCTGGCAGCTTGATAAACATGCCAGGCACAGGTGCATGTGTGCCCAAAACCCTGACAGGATCGAGAAATGGAGACAGGATTGTGGCATTACTATGTCCCGTTGAGGGGTGCTTTCTCCCTCTCTGTGTCTCTTTGGCAAGTGCACATGCCCTTTAGCAACTTAAACAAGAAAGAAGTTAAAAGATTAAGGTCAGCATTTATTATGAAATGCAGCTTTCTTGAAGAAAATGTGCCAGGTAAATGAATTTAGTTGCCAGCCCC